ATGATGATGGGGTTGAGAATAGCCCATTTCCGAATTACCCTTGGCCTCTTTTTCATAACGAGGCCTGGTGCTTAACCACTTTTGTGAAAATGAGTTTAATTTGCATGTGAATGAAAACTTATTATCATATGAAGGGATGAGCACCAGGACTCGTTTTGAAAATGAGGCCAAGGGTAATTCGGAAATGGGCTATTTAGAGGTCTGCCTCCTGGGGAGGCAGCCTATAAAGCAGTAACACCAAGTGCGTGTGCATTTTAAGGTACTTTCAATGTACTCTCCCAGCTGTTACATTACAGCACGAATCCCAATCCCCTTGCTATAATTTTAGCCTGGAAAGAGAACAAATTTTAGGTATCCTTGCTAGCTAAACATATATTAAACTGCTTTATCCAACTAGCCTGCGTTGCAGATGGACGTGTCACACTATCCCCGGTATAGTCCCTCTATATCGGCGGTTTAGACTGTCTGCAATGCAGGCTATATCCAACGTGCGTTCTCTTTTTTTATTGTTTTCAGATTTCTTAATGTTGGTTCATCAGTGATAGATGTAATTGTTGTCATGTCAAGGTAATAAGATGTACTGCTCAAGACTTTCCACATAAGCCCTAATAGTTGACCCTTTGACCCCAAAGAGAGAGATCAGCATCTAATTTCTTACAGTAATTTCCCTGAATCACACAGTAAGGTCACAAGAATAGAAGGGTTGATCACCATCTAAAGAAGGTATTGATTGTGAAACAAATTCTCCTTGTCAGCACCCTAGAAAATGTATAGAGAACAGTATTGGGAATATTCATACTGATGTTAGGATGTAAAGGACGAAGGTTTTGATTGTTAAACAAATACTCCTTTTCAGCAGAAATATATAGAGAACAGTATGGAGAATGTTTACTGATGTTAGGGTGTAAAGGACGAAGGTTTTGATTGTTAAACAAATACTCCTTTTCAGCAGAAATGTATAGGGAACAGTATTGAGAATATGCATACTGATGTTAGGGTGTAAAGGACGAAGGTTTTGATTGTTAAACAAATTCTCCTTGTCAGCACCTTAGGAAATGTATAGAGAACAGTATGGAGAATATGCATGCTGATGTTAGGGTTTAAAGGGTTAATAAAAGGGTTCAGTCAGAACTACCAGCCAGACCAAATGGAACCAACACAAATAGGTTTGACTCATACTTGCAATCATCGGAATCAGATACGCGCTGGAAAACGCTTTTTGAAAATGTGTGTCTTGTTATTTTCCAACAACTAGGTGGGGATAAGTCGACTGCCCCTTTCCTCTTTCAATTTTGAAGCGTAATTAACCAAAAATTTGGTGTAATTTTTTCCAGATAGCTCTTTGTTGGTAATCTTGAAAAATTGGATTTCTGATCACCATGCGCGCGCACAAGTTAAAGGGACGAGCTCAACGTGAACGTTTTGATGCATTACGTGATAATTAAGTTCCCATGGTGATAAGGAAAACAACTGAAACTCACGGCGAGGCGGGCCATCCGTACAAACTCATTAACTTATACCACTGCATTGCCTTGTCAATGCACTGTAGGAAGTACATACTATCGCACTGCTGAACGTCAAAATTACGATGTTGCGGGACCTTTTCTTTGTCGCATTATGCTCACTTCGCACTGCTTTTTCATTCCTTTTTAAATCCGTTTTAAGTACCTTCCAGTGTTCTAACTATGAGTTTCGTCATTTCCATTTTCAGCAAAGAGGGAAAAGACTATCAGTTGTCTCCTCCACGGGATGTGTGTCTATTTGATTGGATTGCAAGTCTCAAGGTGATTTTCCACAGAAAAGCAAACAAACAGATCTTCTTGCAGTTTTACCGTGGGATTGTCCGAGCCATGATAGCTCGCCGGTTGAAAGGCATCCAGACAAAGTCCGCTCGCTTCGTCTCTCACGATTTTAACTTTGAGAAATGGTTTCATTTTGACAACCAGCCTTCCCACTTTATTGGTTTTGATTTTATGTCAAATTAATTTTTCGTTTTTGTTTTGTGTCTTCTAGGAAGCAAAAAGATTAGCGAGTAAACAACAGTGGGAGGCATCTTTTGAGCGTGGGGCAGTTGGTGGAAGTATCATGGGCAGGGTGAGAAATATATCGCGTTTACTGATGTTCGTGCGTGAAAAGATGTCATTCGTCTTGTCACGAGTGTGTGACCGAATTCCTGTTTCTTTGACAGACTTACTGACCAATGAGTGTCCTTTTTTTCCCTTTTTACTATCTCTCAGTTTACCTGACTGTCTGTCTAGCTGCAGGGGTCTGGAGTCAACATTAAGTATTTTCAGTTCAAACCACTTAAGAAGGTTTCAATCTTAATTTTGGCCACAAATCGACAACGTGGTTGACTTTTTTTTTTTCTCTTTTCTTTCAGTTGCGGAACAGTCTGCGCCGAAAAAAGAAAGTGACTCGAGCCTTGTCAGATAATAGTAAAGGTGGGGATGATAACCCCTTTGTTAATTATTCTTACGTCATTCCATTTTGTCGACTTTTA